AGGTGGAGGACCCCTGCTCCAGAGGAGTTGGGCCTACAAATCCCAGAATTCCCCAGCTGGCATGGCTAGGAATCCTGGGAGTTATGTGTCAAATAGCCATATTGGGGAATGCTGCTGAGAAGCCCACCACACTGGAATGTGTGTTGCCAAAGTCCAGCTGAGGGATGGCTAACCAATTCTGTATTGCTGCCAAGAAAAACCTCGCCTGGACGCATCCCTGAATTTCCAGAAGGCTTCTGGAGTTTGTTTTTGATGCGCCGTGGCTGGGGCAAGGCATCGAGTTGATGAATGCGATTGCACGCATCAGCATGTTTCCGAGATCTTTGCAAAACACACCCACCGTTATCTTTCCCCATTTCCTAAAATTGTCGAAGACGGAGTGGCTGGCCAAGAATTGTAAATACAGCTCTGTTGAGAAGGTCTGAAAATTGCCTGTCAAATGAACTTGCTGCATTTCCAATTTAAATTTAAGCACTGTTTTCTTTCTCGTTGCCCTGTCAGCTAGAGTTTGGAATAAATTATGAAAGGGACTACAGCCTTTATACATGGATTTGGCCAAGGGATATGCGCTGTGGGAAGAAAACCATCTTTTTTTGGTCAAATAGGTAACAGTTATCACCTGATGGAAAACTCAGAGGGGTGCAGGCACGCTCCCCCAAATATTTATGCATAGTTACTCATCCGTCTAAGCCAGTGTTTCTCAACCGCGGCAACTTCGAGATGTGTGGACTCCAACTCCCAGAATCCCCCAGCCAGCATGCTGGCTGGGGAATTCTGGGAGTTGAAGTCCCCACATCTTAAGGTTGCCAAGGTTGAGAAATACTGGTCTAAGCATATCGATGCCTTCTGTAGAAATAATAGTTTTGGCACCCCTTCGTTGCTCCCAGTGGGTCTTCTGGAGTCACCCCCGTTGGTGTGCGTGCAAGGACTGTACACATCAGCTTGTGATTTATCACACCGGGGCACCACAGAACAGGATCTGGTCTTTCTCACAGCATCTAATGAGCTAGTCGCCCTGGCTGCCAGTAGCTTTGACTGAAGCAAACAGTAATGTTTTTGCAAAAGGATGATTAATAAACATTTCTAGGAATAAAGAGCTGGATCTTTGCAACTCAGCCGACGGAAATGAAACGGGCTTTCTCAGCTTAAATGCTGGGTCTTCGTCTTCTTTTGGCCTTGTAGGAGGAGAGTTGCGTTAGTCTGTGCTGGCGAAAAAAGCCTCTTTTCCAACTAGCAGATTTTATTAAAAGGCAGAAGCTTTGGGGAGTTGTCGCTCATTCATCAGATGCACGCATCTGTGCAGCTTTTCAGTACATTTTTTTAGCTGGAGAAGGGCCTACCAGACACTTCCTGACTTTTTTTCCTGCCATCAGAACATGATGTGTTTCTGCACAGATACAGCTTGCTTTTCCACTTAAAAAATAAAACAGCCGAAGCAATTAAATAGCATGGCGAGGCAATGCAGGGAGTCCCCGGGTTAAGGACACCCAGTTTACGGATGAACCATAGTTAAGAACGGAGCCTGCTGTAGCAAAATTCGAGTTAAATACACAATGGTTCGAGTTCATTACACAATACTACTTTTAAAGTATTATACAATCATACTGTTCCGGCTTACGTACAAATTCGACTTAAGGACAGACCTTGGGAACGGCACTTGTTCTTAAACTGGGGACTCCCTGTAATCCATTTTAGTATTTTAAAAAAATTCAAAGGAGCTGTCAACGAGGCACGAAAGAGCAAGGGGAGGGAAAGGCAGGATTTTTCAGACAAAAGGGTGGTGGAAATGAAATATCACCCAACTTTCTGTTTTTCGCTCTCGCAAAGGGGAATTTTTGACGGGCCTTCAGGTGCTCGCCGGCAAAGGCGGGGCGCAGCCGTCTTCTTGGAGAAAGACCTCCGTAGCCTCTAAATTGCCTTGAATTCAGTCACTGGAGGAAGATGATGCATAAACTTTTTTTTTTAAAAAAAAA